CTCTAATTATTTTTTGCTCAAGGTTTAAGAATGAGAAAATAAAATGGACAAGCTATTAAGTTCCATATTTACATTTGACTAAAACTGATAACTAAATTTTAGTACTAATTACTACTATTACTGTAGTACTGATTACTAAATTCCTTGCTCTTAAATGTTATGTTTCTAGGAGAATGTTGGCAAGAACTGCTTTAAGTCTCAAAGGGTTTGAATTGGAGAGTTTTTGTTGCAGCAAATATCGTCAGCAGCTGTTTCGACTTGGAGCTCTGGAAAAATGACAGGGGAGATGATGTCAGCGTTGCTCTTACTCAGTACAGTATGTATCCTAATCTTTCTCACTGTGCTGTTGCATGACCATCAGTCCTGTTACTTCAAAAGTCAACAATCAGTATGTCCCCAGCACCAAACAATTTGATCAGAGTATATTTTGATGTTTTAAACTTCATGCTCAGAGAAACAGCATTTTTCCAGTGACAGTGCTGAGTGACTTTCGATGCTCTTATCATATTTTCTCAAGGTGTCAAGTTCATTTCAAGTAAATCCATACATGAACGTCAGAGCTGTAATTTATGTGGACCTTTTTAAAAGTTGTCATACTGAAAGTTGTCATGCTGCAGTTTCTTCTGACACGATCATTTTGTTAACAGCTGGCAATGAAACTCAAATTCATAGAATTGCCTGAGCGAGAAAAGGAACCACACTGCTGCACCAGATGAGTATTTTTTAATTGCTCCGACTATCAAATTAATTTTCATCAAAATAATAATAAAAAAGAAACAGATGGGCTGTATTTGAAGCAAAAATGTCACACTGGTTGCTCTAGTTCAAGTGCCCTTCTTAACTCTGCATTGCTGTAACAATAGTACTTTTTCAGGGTCAGATCTGATTTATATTGAAAAAAGATCCAATAAATTTAAATTTGTTAGAACAATGGTTCATAACCCTGAGCCTCGAGTAACACTCCTGTGTATTTGTTTCCCCAGTTTGACACCTGATTTGTATGAATGGGTGATTAGTAAGCTTTTGAAACATCTTTAAGGCAGGGAAACAACTAAAACATGCAGGGTGGTGTTCCTCAAGGACCATGGTTGGGAACCACCGCGTTAGAAGACAACCCATTAGGTTACAGCGTGTGCCCCTTACAACCTCTCTAGAATTTACTGATGTTTGTAAGCTGAATTAAATATATTTCAACTTTGCTTTCTAATATTTATTTTTCTCTCTCCTTTCTTTTGACTTCATGACCCCTCAAACTCTCTTCCTCTGCTGTCCTCCTTTCCTTCCCCTCATTTATCATTGCCCTCCTTACCCCTCACTTTCTCTTCCCACCGTGTTCCCCCCTCTTACCACCATTATCAGATATTCGCCTTCGAGTCCGGGCCGAGTACCTGGAGCATGACTCAGCACTACGCGATGGCGTCTCCTCAGACAAGCGGCAGCCGCTGGAGCGACAGTTCGAGTTGTTCAGTCGAGCCAGCTCGCTGCTGCGCACCAGAGACCTGGGCTCCATCGTCTGCGACATCAAGTTCACAGAGCTGGACAACCTCGAGGCCTTCTGGGGTGACTACCTGAGCGGAGCGCTTCTGGAGGCCCTAAAGGGAGTTTTTATCACTGACTCCCTGAGGATGGCTGCAGGCTCGGAGGGCGTCCGCCTTCTAATCAGCGTGGACCAAGATGACTACGAGGAGGGCCGAAGGCTGCTGAGAGCCAGCAAAATGATGTTCTCCAGTCACGGTGGGCGCATAGAGACTCGCTAGGCTTTATGACCCAAAAGACTCTGTGTGTTGTAATATACTAACGTTGAAGAAAACAGTAGCATGGGCTGTAACTGCAGGTTATGGGTTCAGGCAGAATTTACAAGCACTTTAATGCCTCTTTTTGCAATCCATGCAATAACCACTAGATGGCAGAAGTTACCACTGGCCACTAGTGTTCAAGGTGGAATATTAACATTATTTATAAATGGAAGATTTAGTTATAGATTAGAGGGGTGTTTTCAGTTTTGATTTATGCACAGGTGCTTTTTTGTAAAAAAAAAAAAATCAGAATTAAACTGGATGGATGAAGATTTTTTTTCTTTGTCTCTAAACAGGAACAAACAGGTTTGTGCCTCCTGATCGAGTGCTAAGCTCCTCATGACGTTATTAGTTTATAGATAAATTGAAGACACAGATAAATTAAAAATATTACATCTACAAAAATAAATATGAAATTGACCTTAGTTATATTATTATTATTTATTA